CAAGATAGAAGTCTAAACTCCAGACTTCTACATGATAAAAAAAGAAAACAAAACAAGGTAAAGGAAATGCGGATGGTCTGGTGTGGAAAAACAATGTGTATGAACTTTGTAAGTAAATCAGTAAAAAATTTTTGTTTAAAAAAACCATAATAAAATAAAATAATTTAAAATTTTTATCACATGCTGCAAACTTAATCTTACTCAATACAAACAAGTTCCACGGAGGAATGTAGGGCAGGGAAGACACTCAAGAAATAGTGTCCTCAGAAATAAGAGCAGGCTAATTGCCAGGCTCTTCTTAAGCAAATTGAGAAGTTTCCCTAATGTATAAAGAGACTTTTCGGCAAGATATGTTTAGCATACCAAGCATTTTACTTACATCAAGTCTTCCTGGAACTGAACAGTATCTGATTTAAAAACAGTTTAATCATCCAAATATTCTTGGAGGCGTTCTAAGACAGGGCTTCCTTAATGTATTTTGAGGACAAATGGTCAGTAGGATTTGAGGATAATAAAATCTCTGACTTAACTTGAACAAGGAAATAGTGAATTCCTGGAATATTTTCAGTAACAGACCAAAATTTTTTTAGTGTACCAAAGGAGGAGAAAACACAATGTGAAGTGTTCTGGCTATAAAACATACAAAGTCCTACATGAGGAAAACGGAATTATTTTTGAGACTGTGCACATGACACAATAGCAGCATAATGGAAAGAGGGCTGTATATTGCTGATAAGTTAAATCAGTATATTAATAGGATGAAATGGGATACTTCCATGAACTGTTATAGTCAAATAAAGCCTAATCCTTGAGGATATAAAGGCAAAAATTCTCCTCAAGTCCTCAAATAACCAAAACACACAACAAATCCAACAAGCAGCTCCACTCACGATCACTGAGTCATTTCTAACTCACAGTAAACTTCACTGGGTTTTGGAGGCTGTAACTCTGAATGGGAGGAGACAGTCTGTCCTGCTCCCGTAGAGTCATTGGCGGGTTCTCAGAGATGAGAGGTCTTTTGGTTAGTAATGCAAAACTGAAGACTATACCACCACAACTCCCAGGTTGCAAAGGAGTGATAGAAACTCAATCTTAAAAAAGAGTAGAGGTGATGCTCATTTGCAGTTCATCAAAAACCCCAGCAGCAGCCTTTCAAAAAAGAGAATCAAGGATTTTAAACTACCTCAAAAGATGAGGAACACGAACTCTTCTTAGTGCTGTGGACACCACCTACCAGAAAAATTAGAAATTAAACGCAGTCAGAAATCCCCAGGGCTCAGTTTGAATGTGCTTTTCTTAGGTACTTCCTACTTCTTGTTCAACCAAAGTAACTACCTTATATACATGTCTGTTTCTGATAAAAGCTCTAGTATAAATGGCAAAATTCAGAATTTTATCGGTTATTCCATATAGCTGCAAATCTCTCAGTTTCAAGTTCAAAGGTTTGAGTATATGGAGGTTAATGATTATCTTTATCCAAAAAACAGATGCATGTTGTATTTAGATGCTGTTGAGTATGACCCATAGCGATCCTATAAACAACAGATCTGCACCCTGCCCCATCTTGTGCCATCTTCTTACTTCCTGACACTACAGAATCCATTGAAGCAGTCATTGTGTCAATCCATCCGCTTAAGGGTCTTCCTCTCTTTTGCTGACCCTCCACTTTCCCAAGCATGACATCCTTTTCCAAGGAACAG